GTTTTAGTGCTTTTCTGACTAAAGTCATTATCTATATGTTTCTCAATTTCACAGTTTGCATGTTAATATGCTACTGGAATACATAAAGTGAATAGAGTTAATTATATTCCATTGAGCTTCGAATGTACTGATCTTAAAGCATTGTTAAAATCAAAGAAAAGAATTTTTTCAGGCTTGCTCAAACATGATTATTACTGCATGCATTTACTTTTTGAGTCTATTATTGGAATAAACACCGCATCATGACGTGGCGTTTATTCGAGGGCGGCGTTTAATCGAATAAATACGGTAATTAAAGAAATGATAGCTGCTGTAATTGCAGTAACTAAACATGGTATCTTTCGTACATTACAGATCTGAATGAGTGCAGCAGGGACAAGTATTATTGCCATCGTTTTGCCACCTGTTCGAATAATCGTGGTTCCTTCACTTGCACTTGTGACCTTCAACAAGGTTTTATCGGGGATGGCTTTGAGTGCAACTTAAATTATGCAAGTAAGTGATCTTATGCAAAGAATTAATTTTACAATGCCGAAGTTTAAAGATCACGAGAAAAGGGTTTGAAAACAAGGACAGGAAATTTTTTGTAAAATTTTGAACTATTAATCTGTAATATAAGAAATCAGTTTTAAGTTTGTGGGCCTTCTGTTACAAGCTGATTTTATATGACAAATGAAGGGGTACCAGGTATCTGGGCCCAGTTGTTCGAAGGCCGATTAGCGCTTAACCCAGGGTTAAATTTAACCCGGGTTTCTATTTCTTTTGTTCAAAAACATTTTCTCGGATAATTTTCTCTGTTATTTTTAAGAGCATCCAATCATCAACTTGTTGACAAAAAGAATAAAACTGAAATTACTCTCTAAGCTTTTATTTCTGAATTCAAATTTCGCACTAACCCTGAGTTATCTTAACTCAGCTTGAACAACTCGGCCCTGATTTACGTTTGATTACATTTCGGGATTCTTTATTTTTCGCAGCAGCTCGATCATATGTTTTCTTCTACAGCATCACTTTCCGACTGCTGCTGAACATAGCTACAACATAACCGCACTCCACTCTAACTGCGCCAAATATTGCGAAAAAAGCTTAATAAATAACTTAACGTTCGGGCTTTCTGACAATGAGAGTAACGAACGCACTTTCCTAATGAGTTTAGGGATTTCCTGTTGATCACCTAAGTGGAAAAAAACAAACCTGTAAGGTATGATAATGACATGAGCAAGAAACCAATGAAAGCTTGACAGCATCACGGTCAGCGATAATCCCTAAACGTGCCCAATTCAGGGGCTGGCACTCAAATTTTAATAAATGACAATTATGTTGAAAAACTACTAAGAAAGGAAAATAATAGAACTGAAAACCTGTCGATACAAAATACGGATGAACCTTGATATACAAACCTAATCATAACGAGACTCTATAAGGTACGAGTGTAACGTCCAGAGCAAACATGAAATAGACTAAAATAACCTACAAAATAGGGCTTCACAACAGAAAATGGGACATAGCAGTACAGCTGTACCTCTTACTTTTCCCTTTATCGAGAATTTTTCCGCTACCTTAAGTAAACAAGTGTTGGGACCTGAGGAGACCATACATCGCGCGTCTCAGTCAAATCTTGAAAACTGGAATAGTAAGTGACAAGAAATAATTACTCTCGACATATCATAAAGAACGTAAATGCAACCTAACCTTAGAAACAGGTTCCGAAAGGTTAAAGCAAAGCCTGCATGAAGTTTTCAAAACTCCCGGCCGTTATGCGGCGCTTTCCTCGTGCCAACCAAAAATAAATAAACAAACCATCAAAAAGATCTGAACAGCAAAAGAATTTTGATACCTTTTTCTTTATTTGTAATCTCTCGATAAGCATTGTTTATATTATTTTGGGGTGGTTTTTGATCGTCAAGGGACAGTACAAGTTTGGTTTGAAAGGTCACAATGATTTCAGCTATTTCAGCTCTATTTAGGAACAACCTGTTAACTTAGAAAAGATGCATGAAAAACGAGTAAGGGTAATCTGAGTGAGCAATCTCAGACTCTTGTAAAGTGCCTCAAATTTTGGTGCAAGTTTACAACAAAAATGATCAGTCATTCGGACCAGCTTTCGAGTGCTAGTATGTCCTGCTATGGTAAATTTATAAGCCAAAGTTAATGATAGTTATGGTAATAAAATAATATTAGGAATAACTAAATCCTCAATTTGTCTTTTATGCTGTTCTTTGGCACCATTCCAACAGGGCATGTCGCTGAATAAGATGAAACAATTTTGGACCAACTCCCTCCTTTTGTCGGTGTTTTTTCCTCAAAATTTTCATGTTCCTTCATGTAAAAATTAAATGGGGTGTGGTGTGCAGAGGGTGTGATTGCCTAATCCCTGCTGCAAAAGAATGAAAAGACACCGAAACTGAATGCATAAATGAAACCATAAGCAGTCGTGGAGATATCCATTTCAGGATATAAGTATCGTGCGTTGTGATTGGTTGAGATCAAAACCAAAACAAAGTGAATCTGGCCGAGAGCTACTGGAGATCAGTAGAAGTGAAACATTTTTTATTGCCGCCACTTGTAATGCGGCTATCGGCCAAAACGAAATTAAGTAGTACGAAATCACTGCACGGAAAGATAGCATAAATAAAATAATTTATTCAGCAAACACTCGTGCACTCTGGAAGAGTGGAGCGAATTCTTCACAGTACAAACTCATCATATAAACGTCCTGATCCTCGAACCGAAGCCAAAGTAACTACTTAAACTACATCGCATCAGAGATAAATCCTGTAAGAAACAAAATCATAGATAAATAACAAGAAATAACTTTGAAATCAATATGCCTGAAACAGGTCAGCTTCATGACCTCTCAACGTGACACCAGCCGCAAAAATAAAATTCGCCGCTGTCAAGGTTTTCAAAACACTAAATGACCGGCGGTGCTACATGTTCTCAGTAATCGAAAATCGAAAATCCAGTTAATCTTAACTATTTTAATCGATTTAAAAAAGTCAAACGATCCTGAAATGCTTCATAAATCTCAAGTTTAGCGTTTGGTTTACGCTGGGCTCAGAAAACGAAACCATATTTGTGACACTTGGAACTTTTTTTCAGGTTATATTTTCAGTAAATTTCACTAAAAACCGCAAAATATTTTCAGCTAAACCCTGAAACTATCATATTTCGCGTGCCTGTTTTTTCGATTTGTGAAATTACTGAAAATATAGGACTACCGGTCATCTAGAGTAGTGTTTTGAAAACCTTGACCGGCAGTCGACCTGAAAAAAGTTCAAAGTCCTAAATTTTCAGTAAATTTCACAAATCGAAAAACTTCCAGGATCAGGATCTCGAATTTTGATAGTTTCAGGGTTTAGCTGGATTTTTAGCTGGGGAGGGTGGCTTTGGGCAAATCATGTATCGGTCCGGTAACCCCAGGACTTCCAGGATGGATTTTTTTTGTACAGTGCCCAGGCCTCATTTTCTTGGCCGCGCGTTGATATGGCCCGGCTACTTCGGGGAGCATGTTCTCGGTCTTTTTGGATTATATCCTTCGAAATTGTCAAAATCTGTGGGATTCGTTTCTCTATCTGGGAAAGCTCCATTGGTTTCTATATCTGCTCCTATCCTATTTCCACGATCCTGGCATGTTTATTTCCCGTTGGAGTTCGAATTTCGTGGAAAAAGTTGTGTTGAAAGGGAGCATGACGGCGAAAATGGCATCTCGTGTCTCCTTCCTTGTACATTATTATTGTGTATAGAGAGAATTTGAACAAATTATCACGATACTTTGTTGGAGCATTAAGGGCAACAACAACTAACTGCAGAGTAAGTTTTATTGATCTTTATTTAGTATTTCCTATAAATTTTAGGATCGTATTTTTACCCCATACAAACACTGTAATTTTACTGGAACGGTACTGTGGTACTATCACAGAGTCTGGGTTACCTGTGCACCCAGCAGAGCAGGAAATCATCACATTCACGGACAATAGCCCAGTTTCGAATTAAAAATTACCGCTGAGTACAAACATTAACGACACATTCATACAGCGTTAGCCTCGACGTAAAGTAAAATATTCAGAAATTCTGGCAAGTAAGTGTTTGAAATTTGAATATACACAATAGACAGAGTAATAAACAGGTCTTTTTCTCGTTGGAATTTGTGAACATATTACTTCAGACGGAGGCTAAGGCTGTAAAAAATGCGTCACTTCTTTAATTCAGCGGTCATAACGAACTCGAAAATGGACTATTACAAAGAGCAAAGGAAATGCCCTGTAAATGTCACACAAACAACTGCAAAGATAAGACTGATTCGCTCAGTTAAAGTTTGGAATCCTCCACAGCTTAATCTACGGATTTGGATTTAAGAACTAATAAAATTTGCAACGCCTTGCAACACGAACAATTCACGAACAAATAAGGCGCCTAATATCGGCGTCATTTTCAAAAACACCGTAACGATGTCTTTCCTTGTAACAGTGGACTGAAGGTTGAAAACTTCATTGTCGACTGGTTGCAGGAGTGGCTCTGTCTCCACGTTTCTGCACACTTTACTGATGTGTGATGTCAGAAGATCTCGGATTGTATCATGTCTCTGAGCTACAAAACCTCCCTTCTTACATGACAACGCATGGTTGGCAGTAAACATTTCTCCACAAGCACAGTAATTAGGGAGATTAGGGGAGGGAGGTTGTAGCGAAGGCAAAAGGAGTCCCTAAACTCCTGCTTGTTCAAAGCCAGTCCGTGTTCTTCGATTGGAATAGCGTTCAGCCACGAGCGGACTCCCTTGTCCCTTGTCCGCTGCACCGCTTGGAGTAGATCAGGAGATCAGGATTCGTCAATCCTGTCAATCCGGGACTTTGCAGCGGCTCTCCTTTTAGCACTGATTTCACACTTCCTTTCCTCCATCAGCTCTCGTGCTGGAATGGTGGAGCTTTGATATTTAATATTCAATTGACGTTTTTAACTCGTTTAGGAATTTAAAATAGTATTCATTGAAGTAGACTCAGGTTAACCTGGTACTGTTGTATTTCTGAAAAATGTGTATCTATATTAACGATTTTGAGAACAACGCAAGAAAATAAAATTTTTAAGTGTCCCTCTTTGTTCTTGAAGCCGTCATGTTTTTTTTAGGCCTCGGATAAAGGCAACTTCCGGTCTTAGGCTGTTTCCTAAATCCGGTTAAATTAAATGGCTCTCTACATCACTATTGCTTATTTTTTGTTTATATCTCGTAGGAGGATTGACAGGCTCCGCTATTGTGGGGAATGATGTTAACTACTTAACTCATTTAAGCACGTGGCTCAAACCAGTTGCTCAGAGCAAATCTTCACGATGGAAGCGTTGTTGGCGTGCGTCCGTGGACGGCTGGGCTGCCAGTACTTTTCACAGCGGATGTGACAACAAAGGACCAACTGTAACAATAATAAGAGTCGGGGGAAAGTACATATTTGGAGGGTATACCAGCGTCTCTTGGAGTAAGTGGAAAGATTTTCTAAACCTGAGCGTGATAGCATGTAAAATTGTGTAAGGAAGAATTTGTAATGGCAATTTTTTTTATTACTTCTTTTTTTGCAATCACTTTTGTTACGGCTTACCATCAGACATTTGTGAATTATTAGGAGCTTAAGCAACCACGACGGGAAGGCCAGCGAAAATATCACTTAGGGCCTGTTTACGTGGAGTTGGGAGACCCTAGGTAGGTGAGGTAACCCGCCTACAATGCAGGTGGGATAAAAAAATAACCATCATTTACATGCAATCTTACAACCCCACTATCCCGGGGTGCACTTTCTCAAGAATATTGAATGGTCGCTAAGCATGTAAATAAGAAAAGTGCTGGCAAACCACGTGTTTTAGCGATTAATGCACTTCTACACTCACTTGCTGCACTTACTGCAACCTTCAGTGCTGTGGCTTTCTATTGTTACCTTTATGATGCAAAGCCACTGCCAAAGTGAATTTTGCGCGAATTTGATGTACCACGAATCCGACCGCCAGCTTGAAGGGTCACTTCACCTACCATGTAAACGTGATCAAATTAAAATGAGAGATGATATGGACAGGCGGGTTAGCCCAAATAAGTGGGCCATTACCATACCAACCTGCACCCCCCCCCCCCCCCCGGCCCTTAAATATTGTATTCACGCTGCGTTTCAAAATTTATTCCTAAATCGCCCTTATTGCATCTCGTTCAATTTGCCAAATGCTGGCGAAGTTCTTTTTTCGGGTTTAAATTCCAAAGGTTCCTGTGAAAGTTTAGAAAAAGAAATAAAAATCGTTGTCTTACGTTCAGGTACTCCATAGAACGTGAAATTAGGACGTTTCACGTCGTAGTCGTGCAACGTCATGGTAAATAATTTACGTTCCGACTAGTTGCGGTAGCTGTCATCGTTGACAGCCTTGACGGACAACGATCAATTAAAATAAAAATAAATAAGGAAGGGAACGGAATTTTTTTTAAGCTCAGTTTTTTTTTTAAATCCCCGGCATTTCTCTTATCATCCTTTTTTTTTTCCATCACAACGTAAGGCACAAGTTTTTTTTTTCTCTTGTTGCAACAAATTTGGAATATAGAGCAGGAGAAAGACAGAGAAAGAGAGAAAGTAGGCGGCAGGCTAGCGAAGCTCAACGAGAAAAAGGGCGACAGAGGTCTAGAGCGAGAAATAAAAAACAGAGGAGACATTATTTTTGGAAAGAACAACATGAAAATCTTGTAGCGGCGGTGACAAAACGAGAAATGCTAGTGGCCACCAATACAAGGTAAAAATGAGCGGGCAGTGAAAAACAAAATTGAACAAGAACACGTACGACATTTCCTCCATAAAACGTGTAACTAAAGAAGTTTCTGCAAGTTTCACGTTGTAGTCGTGCAAAACAACGGCAAAGAAATGTACAAAAAAAGGGTGCTGTACGTGCAAAGTTGCTATTTTTGCTAATTAGACCGACTGTTATTTTTCACCGTTCTCCGGCGTTGCCTTCCCGCTTAGCACTACACGATTTTATATTTTGTTTGAACAAACTATAAATTTTATCGAATGCTTCGCTTTTAGCCCTGGCTAAATCTATATACTATTTATATTTACCACTAAAACTCTAGAAGGAAATAACAACGGACAATTTTAACAAAGGGAAAGTGACAGGTTTTCTTGGTCCTGAAACCTGGATTTAACCTCCATTCAGGGGACGCCTTAGCACTCAAAACGTGACTGACCACAAAGAAGGTTGATATCTTTAAGTGTACACTAATGCTTATGATGGCAGCTTTCACAAACTGAACTATCTCACTTACATCAATATACTGCAATATTTTTTTTTCGTCTTAGCTTTTTAAATAAGAAGCAGTTTCTTCCTTCCAAAAGTATATACTTAAAGGTCAAATGAACCAAAAAATTGACATATTTTCTTTTGTCGCTTTACCTTCACCAAACACTAAAAAGAACCATCCTAAGTGAGACTTGGGTAAAACTTCTTCTTCCCAAGCCTTTATAGAAAGGTAAAAGATCAAAA